GGATACAGCCTTACCTGAAGCCTCTGTACTCTTCAAACATGAGAGTTAACAATCCCCTATTTCCATTCAAGTTGCCATAAAGCCCTCCCCCTGCCAACCCAGTTAAATAAAATATCTCTGGAATAATAGAGAATTGCTGCATGTAACTTCCCATTCCAGTTCAGTATTTGTGACTTGAAGCTACATTTTGAGAGGCCCAAGTTCCCTTCTCAGATGTGACTTTCTAACCAGGCTGCTTCCCACGCGTGGAGACTTCTCGACACAGGGAAATGGGCTGCCCCCTGTCAAAGCTCATGGATGCCCTCTGCTCTCACTGCTAACAGCCCCCCAAGGAGGGTTCCTGGGCCTTTCCCACCTTACATGCCCAAGACTGCTGAGCAGAATTCATACGTTGACATCAAACTTGGTTCTCCTCGCCTGCGACCAGCTTGCTTTTCTATTCAACAGGGGTTGGGCTTCTCTCACATCCTAAAAGCTGGCACAAGAGGGGACAGGAAGGAGGGCGGCGGGAAGGAAAGGGCAGGGCAAAAGCCGCCCTCAGCATGATGTGGGGCTTCTAATTGGAGCCCTAATTGACGATGAGGCCAGATGGAGAGCCGGCTTGCTAGGGGGGCCGGTGGGGTGCCGTGGGAGGGATGCGGGGTTTCTCTGCTTCAATATGACCCAGAGAATGATGTTAATTGTTACTTTAGGCGCATGGAGCATAGGCTATTTGTGAAGCGAGGGAAGAGTTCTTTGGCTGTGACTAAAGAAAGCATAATGAATGTGGAAAGAGAAGAACTTCTGAGTCCCCTGAGCTGAAGCTTGGGTAAGCCATCAAATACATCCCCTACAAATTGGCACTTTCAGCTCAAGCCTCCATGTCTTTGTTGTGCAGTCGAGGTAATGATCACCCGTGCTGTGAAGAAAGCGTGCTGGCTGGCAGAAACCATTCACTGCACAAAGCCTTCTTTGGTTGGAAAAAAGAAATCATAAAATAAAAAAGAAAACTGTTTAAGCTTAAAAACCAAAAAAGAAGCGGTTGGCTCCAGTTGTCAAAATGTTTTATAAAGCAAAAGCAAAATGAAAAAAAATAAAAAATAAACTGTCCCAGAGAACTGAGGGAGGGCCAAAAATATTAATATACGGGAACATGGTGAACCTTCTGCAGGCTGTAAATATTTTCTTAGTTTCCCACGTGTGAGCAGCAAGCACGGCAGTCCTTTTTCCTCCCTCTGTTCTTCCTGTTTGAGATCTCTGCTGAACAGCGATTTTGCCAAAAAATAAAAAAGTATCAGGTAAAGAAGCTGGGTCCATCAGAGGCCCATGAATTTCTTGTTCTCAATGTGAGAGAGAAGGGGTTTTGACCCCACGAACCAGGCAAAAGAAGAAGGATATAGAAAACGAAGAACACTCAGACCATCAGAGCTCAAAAATATAAAACAGAGATGGATATATGTGAATGTATTAACTTACTGAGCATGATACATATACCAGCGAAGAAATTCACTGTCGGTCGGGTGGCCACATGGGATACGAGACATCTGGCTGAGTCTGAATTTTAGATAAACAAGAAATAATTTCTTAGGAGAAGGCAGGTGTAGGATAAGAATGCCCCAAGTTAATTCGAATTTACCTGGGCACCCTATATTTTTATTTGCTGCTTCTGACCACCTGCTGGTAGGAGGGGTATCTAAGTGGCAGAGGAGGGTTTCTGGCCGTGGTTCCAGTCAAGGGCAGGCAGTGTACAGCCTGGCCGGACAGAGCGAGGCCCTCGCTCATGGGTCGGGAAGGGGTGTCTCAGGGTCTCTCAGTTCCCCGCCCTCTACCTGCATCAGCCACCTGGGAGCAGCTGTGAGGAGACCAGGTCATGTCCCCTTAACGGCCACTGTGGGAAAACTGCCTTTTATAGACACCACCCCAAAAAAGGCCAGACCTGGACTTCTTCCTCCACTCTCCCTGCTTAGATTCACGGTCAAGTTTCAGCCACTAGAATGTCACCCAGAGAGATAAAGTTGTCTTTACTAGTTGGGAGGGCGAGGAAGAGCCAGAAAGGCTGACTGCCCATCCTCCTCCCCACCTCCGAGGCCAGAGTTCCTGAACTAGCCAATTTTCTCTCTGCAAAGTGGCCACAAATGAAGCCCTCTGCCCTCGGCTGCTGCCGCCATTAAATCAGAGATGTGGGGAGGCTCCCAGCCAGGGTCTGAGGAATGCTAGCACCCTGACGGTCACCGTGTTGGCCTCGGGGTAGGCCCCACGGAGCTCCAGGGCCTCTCCCGCCTCTCAGGAAAGCAGGAACCCAGACAGCCCAGTGCCTTCTTCAAAGCTGCCATCTTCAAGGAGCAAACCCCAGTTCTAGACAAAGCATATTTCCTTCTCCCCTTCTTCCTTTTCCTTCTCCCCCACCAACCCCCAGACCTTGGTGTCAGGAGAGGAATCTACTTGAGCCAAGACAACCAGCAGGATATCCTGTGGGTGGCCCTCTTCACTGTCCCTGAGCACCTGCTGTGCCAGGCGCCATGGAAAGCCCTTTGCATTCACCCCCCACAGCTGCTGAAGAGCTACAGGAGGGAGATAGAGTCATTACTCCCTTTTACAGATGGGGAAACTGGGGCTCTGAGAGGTTGAACACCTTGTCCCATCATGAGATGGCACAGAGCCGAGACCTGAGCCCAGATCTGTGAACATGTACATTTAACAACAATACTCTCCCCATTTCTCATCCCATACCCATGATCCAGGGCACCCTGGGCAGATATTCCTGAGGAGAATAAGTAGGAGAGGCAAACTCTTATTCATCCTTCAAAACCCAGCTCACTCATCACCTCCTCTGCACTTCACTCTCTCATCCAGGCTCACTCTGAATGACCTATGCTTCTGCTATCATCCCACAGATAAGGCTGCATTATCACATAGTTGCATTCATGTCTGTGTCCATACGAGACTGTACTCCTGGAAGGCAGAGGGCTTGCATTTCCATTTCTGTGCCTGTTCCACGTCCAGAAAACTCCAGCTGCACCAGCCTCCTTTGTGTTCTTCAAATACCCCAAGTTGGTTCCACCTCAGGACCCGTGCCCTGCTCTGCCCCCTCTATGGAAAACCTTCTGTTCCCCATGCACAGGCCTCTCCCTCACCAGATCTGTGCCCCAAAGTCCCCTTCTCAGAGAGGCCTTCCCTGACCACCATTGCATGAGCCCCTCACCCGTCTGCCCATTAGCCTCACCCTCTGGTGTGACCACCTCTCCAGCACTATGGCCCATGTGTCTTTGCTTATTTACTTCCCACCTGACAGTGGCAGTCCCAGGAGTGTGGGGACCTTGTAGGTCTGGTCTAGCCTCGCCTGCAGTTAATTGGCAGCAGACACACAGGAGGTACTCAACATCTGTAGGATGAACGAACCCTGAGTGCCTGACATATATAGACGTTCAGTAAATGAATCTATTCTTAATTAATCATTTTAACAGAAATGTCTCAGAAGCTTCCCAAGGGGGGGATCAGAATTTGTCCTCCCTACATGATGAATGTTTCTCTCTTCCTAGCTATCCATTTCTCCCACCACCCCAACTGTAGGAATGGTGACCTTGGAGAATAGGCCAGGTGCAAGCCCCAGACCCCCTCTCCTCGGAGACCTGTTCACTCTCCACCAAACCCTCCAGCTCCCTATTGACTGAGCCACCACTACAGTGTGGCCCACATTCATTAAGTAATCGATTCAGCTTCAATTCCAGCCCCTGCTGCTTCACTAATGTGGCTGAGGGGGCAGTTGGGACCACCCTAATCCTGGGCCTTGCCCAGGCATTGCCAACGGCCAGGAAGAGCACCGTGTGTCTCAGAGCAGAAACGTGGTTAAGAGAGGAAAACACACCAGCTGAACTACCCTCCAAACACCTCATAAAAGTATAGATCTGTTGATAGGGACACGGCAGGAGTCAGGCCGGGAAAATCTCAGCCAGGAGAGTGAGAACACATGCGCCCTCTCCCAGAGGGCTGCCTTGGTGATTATCCCAGAGATGACCTGCAGCTCAGCCAAGGTCTCCTTTTTCTCAGCCCCATGAGGCTCTAGACACCTGTGTGCCTCATGGCTGCTCAGCCACAAAAGAGTCCCACTATCCTGATCCCCTTGCTGTCATCTCAGACTGATTTTCCTGCTCCCTGGGGACAACACGGTGTGGTAAAACCCTAGAGATGTCAATGAGTCAATCAACAAACACTGACTGAGCACCCCAGTGATAATACAATTAATGTTGATAGGCACGAAAGAAGACAGTGTAGGGTGGTGGGGTCTGCGGGATTCCTTTAGGAGTGCTATTGGTATAGAGAGTGGGTGCCAACAGACGCACGTGTTCTCCCAAAGACACCTGCGGCAATATTCATAGCAGCACTTTCATAATGGCCAAAAAGTCAAAAGCAATATCACCCAGGAGCAGAACAGAATACTCTTCCAGAGAACAAATGAACTCCGTAGGGCCGCTCACAGCCATGTGGCTGGACCTCTCAAACACCACACTGGGCAAAAGCAGCCAAGCACAGGGAGGACATCTGGCTCATTCCACTTACACCAAGTTAAAATAGTACAAAATGGTGCAGACATTTTGGAAAAGTTTGGCAGTTTCTTATAGCCATAGCCGTACCATAAGACTGGGTAATTCCACTCTTAGATGAAATAAGGATTATTTTCACCTAAAGAAAAAAAAAGCTAAAATAGAGGCAACACGAATCTCTGGGCGGAAAATTCCACGAGGGCCAGAGGGTGGCTGACATTGAGGGTGGCTGTCCATGCGCTATTTCCTACTCTCCAGGTGGTGATTACAGGTCTAGACCCAGGTTTCCCCCGGGGTTTCCAGAGTGGAGCAGGTGGGCAGGGAGGTGAGCTAAAACCCCGTCTGAAGCAGAGATAGCAGCAAGCACCAACCAATGGGCGCGGTAGGAACCCAGGACCCACCCCCGCCAGGTGCGGTGGCTGCCTCCGGTTCCGCGTCCTACGTTGCCTAGCACCGGTCTCCCTGGCAACCCAGGGCGCTGCGCCCAAGGCGGGAGCTTGCCAGACTCACTAAGACCCCAGGCCCCATGGCGCAGAGACCGCTCAGCACCACAGCGGCAGAACGCATGAACCTTGTGGCCCAGGATGAGATCTGGTAACGCCCCCATCTGGTAACCCACTGGGCAGGGCCGTTCCCCCTGAAATGTGCCCACCTGGCGGCCTCAGTTTGCCCCATGAAGCCCAGCAGGTGGTCGACCTCTGGGCACTAGGCGCATAGCTGAGGATGGTCAGGGGCCTTAATAAAAGGGAACAGCGTTCAGGACACAAGGGCGACAGGAGAGCCTTCCGCCCTCCTCTGTCCAACCCAGCAGGAAGGCAGAGAAGTGAGAGATTTTGCATATGGCTCTGCAACAGCCAGATTTGCTCACTGAGGGCCAACTGACTTATTTTTTTAAATAATCCACTTTTTAAAAAAGAAAAGAAAAGGTCTCAATATTTGTTCCATTTGAATGAGAGACAAAAGTGCATTTTATCGCCCTATTTTCCTGGGTTTTTGAGGAATAAGAAATTTTAATTTTAAAAATACGCACATTTTCTAAAAGGCTTACCTTCAGCAGGCATGGGTAATGATATGTCGAATTGACATTCTATCAGATTGCTAAATATTTTCCCCTCTCTTTGAAGTTTTAACCAAATCAGGGAAGTTGTGAATTCAGATTTAGTTTTAGTAACAAGGAAGCGTCCTTGCTTCCCTCCTAAACATCAGGCGTCCTGTTTGCCATCCCTGTGATGTTTACCATTTCCTAGTAAAACCTGTAGCACTCACTTCACATTTGCTTTTAAATGGGGTTTTACTTAATTTATTTTACAGACAACTTTATATTCCTCTCACAAATGGAAAACTTGTACCATTTGGCATAATACACATAGCTATTAATTAAAAAAAAAAAAAAACTTTAGCCAGTAACCCCAGTAGGAGACACTACCTGGGAGGGGATGTTCTCCCTACCTGAAATGCCTTTTTCTCCCTCTCCTACCAGACTTGCTAATCATCTTCCAGACCCCAAATCAAATGACTCCTCCTCTGTGATCAGGGCCCAGGGTTACTGAACACTTGAAATGTAACTGGTCCAAACTGGTATGAGCTATAAATGTAACATAAACAACAGATTTCACAGGTTCATATGAAAGAAGGGATTATTAAAATGAATATCACTGGCTGAGTATAGTGGCTCACACCTATAATCCTAGCACTGTGGGAGGCTGAGGCGGGAGGAGCTCTTGAACTCAGGAGTTTGAAACCAGCCTGAGCAAGAATAAGACCCCGTCTCTACTAAAAATAGAAAAACTAGCCAGACGTTGTGGCAGGCACCTGTACTCTGAGCTACTTGGGAGGCTGAGGAAGGAGGATCACTGGAGCCCAAGAGTTTGAGGTTGCTGTGAGCTATGATGATGCCACAGCATTCTAGCGTAGGCAACAGATTGAGACTGTCTCAAAAAAAGAAATGAATATCATGTATTTATTTTTATAATCTTTTTAATGTGGCTACTAGAACATTTAAAATTGTTTTGTGGCTCACATTATGTCTTGATTAGAAATAGACTCCATCTCATGTTCTCAGCTCCCAGGGCAAAGAATGGGGGCCTCCTGGGGACACTTGAGGCAGGGAAGGGGACATGTGTCGATATTGATTCCAAAATAGAAGAAACTAGAAAAATCAAAATGACCACATGCTTAATTAGATGTTTGCGAAATGTGAGACACCAGTTCGTGGACTGCAATTCAACTCTTGGGTAGTTATACATAAATTACATGACCCTGGAGCAAAAGCTAGGGCTGCATAAGGGTGGGCAAGTGCGGCCCCTGGCTTGTGACATGTCAGGAGGTGCCCCAGGTCAAGGTCATGCAGTGCTGAGTCTGCACTTGCAGGAAACTGAGAGCGAGCCCTCCTTAAGGCTTGCACCACAGATGCCTCCCTCGCCTCCTGTTAGCCTTTTCCCTGAGAACAAGGGTATTTACTCTGTACCTCCATACAGTATCTGCCTGTAACTAAAGGTCACAGAGGCCACCCAAATAAGGGACCCAGTACCTAGAAGGGCTATGGGGCAGAGCCAGTCCCCAGACTTGTCTGCTCCCAGGTACCTTCATTAGCAGAGGGTCCCCCTCGGTGTTGGGAGGAGTTCAGTGGTAGGGGCCCTCCCTCTGACACCCAGCTCCATCCCTGGCATGGAATGACTATCCAGTCAATGTGCGGGAGGTTCCCCAATGGACCTTCACAGTTTGCTGATAGAACATTGCTCACGCATTACCCAGCACTCAGGAGCTCTGTTTTTCAGGAAATGCCGTCTGAAGGCTGAATCTGAAGCACGGCAAAACTGGCCCCATAACTGGGGTTTTTTAACAACCCCCTTCGAGGAGGTAAATATAAATCTTATGAGCCCTGAGGCTATAGAATCAATTGTTTCGAAGAATGAATGGTTGTGAAGTCTATAATTTTGCAAGAATAAAATTAAAGGGCATGTTGTAGGCAAAGATTGCTGACCCAGACACCAGAAGGTTCCCTCCTTCCACGAATTACTGAGCACTTACTATGCACCAGGCACGTGCCAGGTGCCTCGCTGGAAACAGCTCATTCGTCCGCACCAGGAGCCCTGTGCTGAGGGTGTGATTGTTTACACACATATTATAGATTAAGAAATACAAGAACTGTAAAGTTACACAACTGGTAAAGACGACACCAAGGTGAGGGGCTGGTCAGTCTGATTCCACGGCTACCTGCCCTCCAATCCCCATCTGTAATATGGGGTGATCATCTTCACCTGCCTGGGCGAACTTGAGGTGCCGATGGAATAGGAAGAGGCATGTGGACACCTGGTCAGGCCTGGAGGCGGGGGGGGGGGGGGAGTAGGGGGGCAGATGACAGATGGCTGGGAAAATACTCATGGCATTCCCTAAACCAGGATGGTAATTCCAGAAGTCTACAGGGACCAGACAAGTGACAGAAGCAGGAGAAGGGGACAAGCACGATTGATAGGGGGAAGTAGGGTCTCGGACAAAGAAACCACTGGCTTTGCCCAAAGTGGCAGCCACCATCCGCCCAGCTGAGTGCTATCATATGGGGAGGCCAATGGCATATATCTACTGCTAGAGTCTAGAAATCAAATGTTTAAACGAAATCTTCCAAGTCAAGACTAAGTGACTCAGGTGTATGAAATACTATAGAGACACACAGACTGCTTCTATAGGCTTCGTGGGGTGGTGGCCATGAGTTTGCAGCCTCTCAAAGGATCTCCAAGACAGAACTTGAGGAAGGCACATTTCTTTGGAGGGACACAGCATTAAAGAACTGAATAATTCAAAACTCTCATGATTTGAGGCAGCATAAACCCCATTTGCAATTCATCCCACCCCACTAGCTTTGAAATTATGCCATTCCTAATGAGTTTTGTTAATTCTTAGAGAGTTATACAATTTGAAGTTTTATGCATAAAATGAGTTCTTATTAATATAATATGCATAAAAGAGTCTATATTAATATTCCATATATATAATTAAATTGGGCTTTCAAAGAGTTCAAAAATCACTTTATAAATGAAAAGGAGTGGGTCCTGGAATCTTTTTGGTATCTTTAAATGTAAACCCATAGCCTGCAGAGCTTTCTCAAATCCCTCTGGAGGGGACTATAACCCAATGGGAGGGTGAGCAGCGGGAGGGCCTGCAGCTCCTCGTGGCTTTAGGAGTAACTGGGACCGGCCACTGCCTAATGTGTCTGAGCCCTACTCATCTGTTGAATGTGGCTTTCTGGGGAAAGCAATACAGAGAATGCCTCCTTCCCCTCCTGCCCCCCCAACCCCTGCCTCGGCCTGAGGTTTCCCATCTCCGGGATTCTGTTTTAGCTGATCAAGGGTGAAGAAGAACCTTCCATCCCACGGCCCAGAATTGAACTTCCTGAGCGTTTTCAAATCCGGCCAGTGACCCCAGTGGAGAAATACATCAAGGTTGGAAAAGTCATTTTTTTAATACTCATTTTTCTAAGTACGAAATAAGCCCCATTGGAAATTGATCACTCAAGGTGCACAAAGCCAACAGCCAAAGCTAAGAACAGAGCAGTGCCCCGCCTGGGCGGAGTCCTTTCTGCACCGTCTCCAAGCCCAGCCATGGGGAACTTATCAGGCTCGATGTCTCTGTATACATGAGGGCCATCGATTCCTGCTGTGCAGAAGTGGAGCCAAGCCAGGGAAGGAGGGACTCAAGGTGTTCCTCAAATAATTACAGGGTGTGGACAGGAAAGCAGGGAGGGTACCGGCCCAGGCTTGGAATCCAACCTCTGACACCCGAGTTCTGCTCACCTCCTGAGTGGTCTTGAGCAAGCAGCTTGCCCTCTCTGTCTCCATGTCCTCCCTCTCACCTACTTCAGTGAGTGGCATCAGAGTTTCAAGGGCGATGTGTGTGAAGGATGTAGAACAGTGTCCAGCATTTTTAGGGAGTGGGTGGTGGTTGTCAGCTACTGCGAGGCAACAGGTGCCAGGTGCTTGGTTGGGCAAACAGTGATGACAAGAAGACCAGACCCGGCCATGGGCCTGAGTCAGAGGAACCAACATTAAACAAGAAAATCAACAAAATTGTTATCTGGTCTCCAAGGAAGCAGGTGACGTGTTACAGGATGAGAGAGGATGGGGTGGTCAGAGAAGACTCCCAGGGGAGGTGCCCTTTAAGCTGAGGACTGAAGGATGAACGATCAGCCCTGGGGAAAGCATTCCAGGCAGAGGGAACAGCATGGACGAAAGCCGGAGCCAGAGCACAGGCTGATAGCTTTCTGGAATGGCAGGGCGTGGAGGGTGCTGTGGCTGGAACTTAGGGACCCAGAGTGGAAGGCGGGATGGGAAGGAAAGGGATGTGAATGGAGAAGTTGGCTGGGCAAGACCCCACTAGACCTTGGAGGCTTGAGGAAAAATTACAATTTGAGTCCAGTCTACACTGGAAGCAGCCACAGAACCATGAACGCTGCCCCAGAGCGCTCTGCAGCTGAGGGGAGAACAGATGGCAGGTGGAAGAACAGGAGTGGCCAGGCAACCCCAGAGAGGAGAGATCGTAGGCAGTGTCCCCCAAGTCCTGCTCAGCTGTGGACAGGGTCAGGGGCCTCTAGAAACTGTTAAGCTTCATGTAGCCTTTTCCCATGGGTCCATCATTTTGGCCCATGGGTTCTACCCTCTGCCCAGCTATGGAGAAGGTAATTCTGTGCACTGATGGGGAAAGGGGATGAAAGCCCCAGGTGAAGGCAGCCAGGGGCAAGTGCCTTTTCCTGAAATGCCTTCAGAGTCTGCCCAGGCGGCTGGCCCATGGTGAGCGTCCGCTGGGTATGTATCTGCTGGGGGTATGAATGAATGAATTCACTCCATTGAGACATGTTGAGGGGCTTTCCCCCCAGTTATAAAGTAATAGTGTCACTGCTAAAAAAAAAAAAGTAACATAAGTAAAAAGATAATTAAAACACTCATATACTCTATCCATGGTTAGCATTTTAGGGCACACTTGTCAGAGGCTTTTCTACATGTCCATACACACGTACCTATGAGAGGAACCCCCTGGTAAATGCTAGCTCTTACTGTGATCTCCTAGCTGCTTGCTGTGTTACTTTCCATGAGTTATCTTATTTCCACAACCCTAGAAGATATTATTGTCATCAAACCCATTTTGCAGATGGGAAAGCTGAAGGCTGAATTCCTTTCCCCAAGGTACACAGCAGGAGTGTCTGATCCCGGAGCCCTGCTCTCAATGTCCCCTCAGCCCCTCTCCGTGCTCCTATGTCTATGCGTATAAATCATTGTTATCTTACCGACCAAATTTTCTCCACTGCATGGCTCTGGCATAATTTCTTCACAATATTCCTATCTCTGGACATCTAGTTTGTGTCCAGGTTGAGATCTGGGGGAATAATACTGCAAGTAGACCCGGAATTTTGCTCTGGGTTAGTAATTTCCTTGGAATTGGTTCCTAGAAATGCAGTGATTGTTCAAATAACAGGAGCTCATTCTCCTGTGGTCTAGAACACTGGGCTGGTTGGACAAAGAGACCGGGAAGAGGGTCTGATATTTTTGCAGGGCTGGGTTTTCATTCTGCCAACCCCCTGCCTCCAGCTGCACCCCAGAAAAGAGCATGGGAGCTGCTTACCATCCCTCAGCCACACGCTGTCCCCAAGAGTGCCTGCTCAGGGGGTGGCAGCTGCCACCCTCTCTTCAAAAGAGGTGCCCCACCTAGATACTGGGACAGTTTCCCCTCCCAGAGTGTTAAAGAACAGAGAGGAAGCTTCCAGTGGCCAGATCAAAGAGAAGCATTGCTATTTCCTATGTGAGACTCCTGCTTAGGGGGAAGGGCCAGTGTGGAGGCCGCACTCAACAGACAGAGCCTGTGGGGTACAGACTGGGGACGAGCATTCAGGTGAGAAGGAACTTCTGCTTCCTTCTGAACCTAATTCCTTGCCCAAGAAATAGTAAATGGCTTCCAGTTTCTACCTTCCCATCCATCCCCTCTTTGGGTGACTAGAGCCTTTAAAAATATACTTATTTTTCAATAAAAAAAAATACTTATTTTTAATAGGTACCCGTAATCCCCCAAAGAGTGAGCAATGGACAAGCCCCTTCCCTCCTCCCAGGGGCCGCTGTCACCAGCCACCATGCACCCTTGCATAGAAGCAGGTGTACGCACAGGCACACAGGCCAGCGTCCAGCAACTTGTACCATACCTTGCATATTTTTGAGCCCCTTTTTCTATTAGAAGTTTATCTGGGAAGCTGTTCCGTCTTGGAGCAAACAGAGCCGCCTCCTCCTTTTAAACTGCTGCTCCGTGGTGCAGATGGGCCACAGGTGAACGAGTCTCCTGTGGGCGTGGAGAGTCATCCAGTCATTTGCTACACATGCAGGGCCTCAAGGCAGGTCTTGTACTCACCCTGGTGTGCACAGTGTTGTTTTTACGGTGTCTCGGGATAAATGCCCAGGGGTAATTGTCGGGTCAAAGGGCATGTACAGTTGCATTTTCGGAAGATCACTGCAACGTTGCCCTTACTGTTGTAACACCCTTGTTAACCTTGGTGTTTTCATCTCTTTGCCGATCTGGTGGGTGAAAACGGAACATCTCAGGGTGGATTTCAATCACGTTTCGTTTACAAGTTGGAGAGAGACTTGGAAGCTGGTCTGTGTAGTCCCAGGGGCCTGGCTGGACAAGCACTTTGAGAGCTCTGTCCCTTTGAGCCATCTGCCCACAGCTGGCCATGCTGGCGCTCACTGATGACCCTCCCCACACACAGCCCCTCTCCCTCTGGAGATCAATTTTAATACTTCATCAAGAACATGTGTTAAGGGGCTTCCACCACGGGGCAGCTGGACCACCCAGGACCTGCCACCTCCTCCGTGGAAGTTCCCTTAGTAAGAAGGAACTCAGAACCCAAAGCTTAGTAAACCTCTTGATCTTGGTTCTTCTGTTAGAACAAACAGCCCTCGCGGTTGCCTTTGTTCAAATCTCCTGATAAGAGCAAAACAGATGATGGCATAAGGGGGGGCACCTGGTTACCCTCACTTTCCAAAAAATGTCAGGTCTGTCCAAGGAATCAACACATAAGGGTGTGCTTTTCCATGACAGATAGAACCACGTTTTCTTCTTGGTCTTTTTAATTAGGTTCAATTGTTTTTCATTCCTGTGGTCCCTGCAGTTTGGAGCATGTGTGTGTCCAGGTGCGTGTGTATAAACACAAGTCCTATTGAGCTTTCTAATAAAAATGGGATGACTTGCAGCTGCCAGAGAACCGTCTAAGTGTTGCCCCATATTTTATAAAGGGCAATGAGAACTGTCGTATTTGATTTTTCTGCATTTTAACAATTTTTTTCTCTTACTAAATAGAAATTATTTTACCGGAGGACATGAATGTGTTAAGCATTACAAGATTTTAAAACCCATTTGATGTCCATTACTTCCAGGTAGATGTGACCCTCAGAGGCCAGCTGATTGGGATGTGCTTATTTTCAGTACACACAGGGATGCTGCCTTTTCTGTCTTCCGAAACCCAGCCTCACACGCCCACAGTGGGTACCTCCGTGGCCAGGCCTCTTAGGGCTGTGACCCGAGGTGACTAAACCCCCTGCGTTTCCTTCGCAGGTTCTTCCCTCTCCGCCAATCCCACAGACGACCCAGGGCTTCATCGGCTGGAGGTCTGCGGTGCCAGGCCTGAACAAGTGTCTGGAGTATGACGAAATCAGAAGCTGCAAAGGGGCGTTTGCCCGAGAGCTGCACTGGCCCAAGCAGGGGGTACACTGAGTCCACACCACACCCCTGTCCCCGGGCACCAATGGTGGGCGCCAGGTGCCAGGCCCAGGCCGGGAAAGGAAGACCGCCACCGCCACTGCCACCGCCATATCCCTGAGGACAGTCCCCTGCAAACTTGCTCACAGATGTTGCAAAAAGCACAAAATATGCCTTAGGTTCAGCAGCCCCTGCCTTCCAGAATATTCACGTGCACGCCCGTGCTTAGATAATGTAATCTGTAAGGCAAAATAGATTCACTCCTTTTTTTTTTTTTTTTGATACTTTGGGAATTTCTAAATATGGCTTTAAAAAAATAGTGAGTGATTTAATTTTTAAAATATTTGTCTAGGTCCATTAATGCGGCTTTCAATTGTTCCTGTCACCAACCTTATTTATAATGAAAGTATTGGGGTGGTGCCTGTGGCTCAGTGATTAGGGCACTGGCCCCATATACCGAGGGTGGTGGGTTCACAATCAGCCCCAGCCAAAATGCTACAAAAAATATCCGGGCGTTGTGGCAGGTGCCTATAGTCCCAGCTACTCGGGAGGCTAAACAAGAGAATTGCCTAAGGCCAACAGCTGGAGGTTGCTGTGAGCTCTGACACCACAGCACTCTACTGAGGGTGACAAAGTGAGACTCTGTCTCTAAAAAAAAAAAAAGAAAAGAAAAGAAAAATTGTTGATCAGGTAATTTCTGCATCTGAATATCCCCGAGCCTGCTTTTCAGGAGGTATAAAACACTTGGAGGATCCCTTGACTCTCCTTTTCAATAAGACAACAGCTTTAAAGGCAGAAATGAGACCAAGATTTGCCATCGAGTAGAGACTCCTGGGAAGAAAATGAGCTTCCCAGACACTCTAGGAAAACCACCCCTGCCAGCCTCCCCTGGCCACCCTATTCCAGCCCCAGCACACTGCCCCAAGGATGTCACCCTTTGGTCAGTGTTTTTCTCCAGTCCCTGCCCAGTTCTGCAGCTTTCCTCCTAATCCTACAAATGGGGCCAGGGCACCTCACTGGCCAAAGAGCACAAGAATGAAAAGCCAGTCTGTCGTCAGGTCTTACGAACTGGACGCCACAAAGTAGGATAGCAGAGTGCTCACGGCAGCCTGCGGGAGCCGGCGTGGGCTCTATTCTCAGTAGCAGAGGTCGGTGCATCCTTCAGACCTGACGTAGACAGGCCACCTGCCCTCCATGGACACACGTGCCTTCCTCCCCATGGCTGGCCAGGCCTCACTGTTCCTGGGACAGAACCAGCCCTTGTTGATTTCATCTGGCTGTGGCCTGGGGGGGCTCCCATGTGTTGGGACCCACTTGTAAGGTTAATCCACCCACACATTTCCTGCCTACCTTCCTGTCCAGGCATGGGTGGCATGCTGCAGCCAATCCAGGAATCTCTCCTCTTAGAATCATTTTAAACCATCACAGGGCCCTGAACACTGGCCTCCACTTCTCTGGCTCTTAAAAGAGTTCCTTGATTTGAGGGGGCATCAAATATTAGGGGAGCAGAATTCCTCCTGAACTGGGGTCATCCCCTGAAAGTTCTAGGCTCAGAGTCTCTAAACCCCAGAACCCCCAGCAGTAGAGCTTCTCTTAAACAGGGCCCTGTCCTCTGTACAGGTCTCCAGAGTGAGATCTGAGCTATCAGTCAGCCTCCCAGGGGCTGGCTGCAGACACCTTCGCAGCCTTGTCCCTGGTACTGAGGGCAGAGCCACACAGCAGAAACCTTCTCCCAGCCACCAGATGGTTCTCTGTCTCACCACACCCCTCCTCCCACTCCACAGTAGGAAACTCCTAGGTTTTTTAGGCGCTGCCCAGCCGAGAAGAGCAACACACAAGAGAACCCCTTCCAGAAGCCTGTCACTACCTTTGACTGTTGGATCCACATTCACCATTGGCCACAGGGGACACAGACACCAAGAAACACCAGGCTCCTTTAGGTTCTAAGAAAAGGGACAGCACTGTATCGTGGGGTGACTTGTACCCCCCAAAAGATTGGTTGAAGTCCTAACCTCCAGCACTTGTGAATGTGAACTTACCTAGAAATGAGGGCATTCCAGATGTGCTCATTTAAATTAGGGTGAGGTCACACTAGAGCGGGGTGTGCTCTCAGCCCAATGGACTAGCATTCTTGCAAGAGGAGAGAGAGGGACACAGGGAGGACACAGCCACCTTGTGAGGCCCTGGGAGGACTGAGGCGGGAATCAGGGTGATGCCAAGGAATGCCAAAACTGGCTGGCAAACCACCGGAAGCTCAGAAGAGGCAAGGAAGGATTCTACCTGGCAGATGTCAGAGGGAGCATGGGCCTGCCAATGACCTGACCTTAGACTTCTGAACTCCAGAACACTGAGAGATACATCACTGTGGCCCTAAGTCACCCGTTTCCCAGTGCCTGGCATGGCAGCCCCAGGAATGAACACAGCCTGGGATGCGTCTCACCACCTCCCCTCCTCCTCTCCTCGGAAAACACCTCCTCTGACCATGTGCCTTCTGTTGGTCCTAATCTGGGCTGTGTCTGTCCCAGTCCAGACCACGTGGCCCCTTCAACTCCAAAGATGTTTCCAGTCACCCAGATGTTTAGCCTGTTGTAGACTAAACAACCGGATGCTTGGCCAAGCCCATTCCTATTAAACCGTAATGTTTTGGCATCTCAATCTTCACCACAGGGAAGGCATCTGCCCTTGAAGAAGCATTCTCTCCCTTCTTGTGACCAGATGCCTCCACCACAGACGAGCAGCGCGGCCAGAAAGCACAATTGCTTGGTGCCCATCCCTACCTCGGCCTGACAAGGACCACATTTCTGTCTGATCACCACAGGTGAGGCAGCCCACACCATGATCCACAGGTAGTTGTTTGATCTAATTCTCGACCACAAAACAAACCTACATCATCTGCATGTCCACCAGAGTTTGGCAGCAAAAAAAGTCTAACAAGAAAAGACAGGCTCCCCTAAACCATCCTGGTTCCAAGCCTGGACAGGAAATCAGCACGTCCACTTTGCCTTTTCTGAAACTTCCAGGTGGATGTACTTTAATTCTGATTTTACCTGACTGGTGCATGTTGACAGACAGCCCTGAGCTTAGGGAGCAGTCAGGTCAGCAGGTGTGGCTGGCAGAAATTCTCAGGGTGGAGCTGAGCGGCCCACTCCCCTGCACGGACAGCTGAGCCTGCATAAAACCTGAAATCTCAACTGGGGAAAACCTCTAGGGACAGCCTGAGCTTCCAGACCCCAGTGTGGCCGTGGAGGAAATGGGCCCCATGTGCACCCACATTGGATCTGCTTAACTCTAGTTCTTTGTGAGAACAGAAATTCGAAAGACTCAGATCAAAGTCTGAAGACACACGGGTCTCTTGGACAGTCGGCTCCCAAGACACAAATATTTAGGAAGCTATTTGATGCCTGTGTGTTGTCCTTTAATTTCAGTGAAGCTTATTCCACATTTATGTACACGTATTTAATGTCCCTTATAACTACTTCTTAAAATGTTGCAGTGCTGATACTTTTTCAAACTTCTACTCCTGTCCTTATACAGATGGTCAGATATTTTCAACTAATCAATATCTAGGAAACCTTGTTTGGTGGGTTTGGGTTGTTTTTGTTTTTCTGTCTCCAATAATTTAGTTGTGTGTGACTAGCCACACGTGTGCTTTTATGTAAAAATATTAAAATGAGGCAACATTTCTGCAGGTGTCAACTTCACTGCCAAGGTCCTCCCCGTGCGCACTCTCCCCCTGGAGTTACAGTCTCACCTTTGGACTCGGAGCAGTTGGAACTGCACCCGTGGTATCACAGCTCAGATGTCCAGTCAATGGCTCTAGTTGGAAGTCAAAGTGGGCAGTGCTTGAGGATTCAATTACCCTCGATGGTTTCAAACGTGACATTTAATCTATGGAAATCAACCTCTTTGTGGGTGTCCAAATGGGCCCATAAATGTCACCACACGCTGTAAAATACCACAGCATTTCCAAGGCTGAGACGAGGCTGGTGAACCTGTGGACATGATGCCGAAATAACATCACAGCAATGAGGCGCCCGACGGGCCTCCGTCCAAATGAACGGTCCCTGAAGTGATCAAAGCATAATTGGGTCAGGGACTCAGAATGGATTCTGTCACAAGCACATTTCCATCCAAGACAAATTAGAAACTCCTGCTGGAAGAAAATGACATGCTCCAGTACAAAATAAAATTGTTGGAAAACATGACTTTTGCTCTTACGCACTGACACACACCTGGGTTATAACTGTCCCAACAGACTCCGGGCTTCAAGCTTCCAAAGTCTGAGGCCAGATTATCTGGGCATGTAGAACTTTGTACCTTTGAGAACATGCATGTATATACTGCACAAGCCCTGTAGCAAGGTCTGGGGCATAAAACCATTGAAATTAAAACCATTCATATTTTTGTAGCAAAACTTAGGAATATGCACACTAAATGGAATAAAGACCTAAAGAGTCATATTTTAGTTTGGTTCAGATTTTTCCACCAAATAAGTGTTGGTGTCAAACTAATTAGGATATTTCTAGGTTTCGGAGCAATTTGGAGTTTGAAACTGGTAAGAGATTTTGGGCATAAAATGTCACTATCACAGAAAATAGTATAGGGGTGGTTCTTTTGGTGCCTTTAGTTATGAACGTCTATGAGGACTCTTGGTTATAAGACGAAGAAATCCAGCCCAAACTAGCCAAAGTGCAAAAGGAACATAACAACCCACATAACTGGAGAGCTCCAGGGGATCCTGCTTCAGGCACAGCTTGATCAAGGATTCACCTGCCTTCTCCAGGACCCAGGACCTTTCTACTTCAATTTCCTTCAGGTTGGTCTATCTGACTGCTTTCTACTACAAGTAACCTAGTTTAGCATTGTTCAGATACAAAGAGGAGGTCCAGAGGTAGGCTGAGCAGTAGGACTACTCTCGTAACTTAATGCATGTATGTTTTCTCAGCACATACCATGTTTAAGATCCAGCTATTGCCAGAGCTCATGAGAAATCTAGGTGTTCCTTCAAAATAACACAAAATAA